ACTTTCTAATTATAAATAAAGGTTGTAGAAGGCTGCTTTCAGAAGAAGAGAAGTAAAAGATATTCGGGCTGACCTCCCCCGAGATGGTCAGTCAACAGCCTCTACTAGAACTGCAATTGTGGTTTCTGGTACAGTCATTTCTACCGCCGCAGTTACCTTCACCCCTTCAGCCCCGGACTCAGCTGGAGCTGGACTCCGGCACAACCCAAATCAGATTTAAGACTGAAAAAGCTAGATTTCAAACAAATTTCAACTGTCATTTAATGAGATGAGAGCTCTTTTAATCTGGCTTATTCTCTCTGATGCCTTACCTAAAGGAGAGTATCCATGATGAGCAATTCTTGACATTCCTGTCGGCAGTTTAGCTGATGGCTTGTAATTATGATATTCAGAAATTAAGGGACACATTTATTTAAGTGAAGGAAAAATATTGAATAATATTCCTTTTTGGCCCCCATAATGGCCTGGAGCAACTCAAATGTTGGTTGAATTCCCTTAAAGAGGCTCTCACAGAGAATCTGTCGTTTTCTAGGCAACAAAGAAGACCCAGAAGTATGGAGCTCTGGAACTCCACCGTTGGAACTGGCTTCATCTTAGTGGGGATTCTGGATGGCAGTAGCTCTCCTGAACTGCTGTGTGCTACAATCACAGCCATGTACTTCTTGGCCTTGACCAGCAATGGACTGCTGCTCCTGGTCATCACAATGGATGCCCGGCTGCATGTGCCCATGTACCTCCTGCTAAGACAGCTGTCGCTCATTGATCTTCTCTTCACATCAGTTGTCACTCCAAAGGCTGTTGTAGATTTTCTACTCAGAGACAACAGCATCTCTTTTGGGGGCTGTGCTCTTCAGATGACTCTGGCATTGATGCTGGGAAGTACAGAGGACCTCATTTTGGCCTTCATGGCCTATGACAGGTATGTGGCCATTTGCCATCCTCTGAACTACACGATCTTCATGAATCCAAAGGTCTGCTGGCTCATGGTGTCCACATCATGGATCCTGGCATCTCTGACTGCCATAGGTCATACTGTGTACACGATGCATTTCCCTTTCTGCATGTCCCAGGAAATCAGACACCTGCTCTGTGAGATCTTGCCTTTGCTGAGGTTGTCTTGTGAAAATACTTCCCAATATGAGCTCATGGTTTATGTGACAGGTGTGACATTCCTCTTGCTCCCTCTGTCTGCCATTGTTACCTCCTACACATTGATTTTATTCACTGTGCTCCACATGCCCTCAAATGAAGGGAAGAAGAAAGCTCTTGTCACTTGCTTTTCCCACCTGACTGTGGTTGGGATGTTCTATGGGGCTGCCACATTCATGTATGTTCTGCCAAGCTCCTTTCATAGTACCAAGCAAGACAATATCATCTCTGTGTTCTATACAATTGTCACCCCAGCTTTGAACCCCCTCATCTACAGTCTGAGGAATAAAGAAGTCATTGGGGCTTTGAGAAGGGTTCTGAGCAGATATATTCTGCCAGCACATCCCACTTTTTAGAGAGAGTTCATGGCCTATTTCTCACTATTCGTTTTCTATCTGAATTGCTATATTTAGCCATTCTTTAAGATTATAGATGACTGAGATGATAATACACTTTAAAGTTTTACCTTTATTTTCTACTTTGTAGCTGGTATGTATAGAGTCCTTAAACTGTGCTCACCTTGCACTTACCATCTGATTCTGGAAACCCCACATTTAAAAAAGAACACTTTGAATGGATGCTTTAGGCTTACTTTGTGGTTGGACATCATCCTGGTACATTATCTAGCAGACATGATTGAAGATTCTTCTGTTTTGTGAGAGGCAGCAATAGTTTTGGCTTGAATAATCTTCAGTAGCTTCTGAGCGCCACAGTTCTGCTCACTTTGATCCAGATTCTTAATTAATCTACAGAAGGATGTACAGAATATGTTTTGAACTTCTTTAGAAGAAAGAAATTGGAAGAAAAATAAAAGTGTTATTACATTTGAATTCCTTTTCTGAAAAAAGTTCACATTGATGCCACAAACACAAAACTTAAGTCTAGGTAGCAAAGGGTCAAAAAAAAAGAACCTATCACTTCTAGCTAGAATGTTACCCGAGTCGTTTTGAAATGAGACATAAAATTACAATTGGAAAAATAAGTGAATAAAATAGTATTGTAAGTACCCATATTTATAAAGAAGAGTAGAAATACAATAATATTGAGAGAACTCCATTGTGTATATTGTTCCTATTATGAAAAAATAATCATTCCTCAATAGACCATAGATATATTTTGAACTATTTAAAAATTGTAACGCACTCATTATTTTTAATTTTTGTTATTTTAATTGTGTGTGTGTGTGTGTATACAAGTGAAAGAAGTGAGCACAGGTGCCTGTAGAAGTGTCTGATCCCACAGGTATGCTTGAGTTAGAGAGGGTTGTGAGTCCCCTGATGTGGGTTCGAGGAACAAAGCTGGGGTCCTCTGTGAGAGCAGTGTGTGCTCTTAACTGCTGAGCTATCTCAGATTTGTGAGGGGAATGTGTGTATGTATCTGTCCACAGGAAAATAAATATAGAATATGTAATTAACTCTACCCATCTAAACCTAGGTAGGCTTCATTTTATTATATCATTTATTGTTATAAGATGTAAAATAAGGTAAGAATGTTACATTGTGAGCATAGAAGCGCCAAAATACTCTGGTTTATGGGGACACTAAGTTAACATGATAGGCCTTAACACAAATTATAGAATGCATGAAGTCCAGTGTGGGGGGCTATGGGAGGGGCTCAGTGGGCAGGGGTATAAAAATGATTAAGATATTGTTTATGAAATGCACAAAAATTCAATAAACTATTTTTAAAGATGTCATTATTATGTATAATAGTGATTAAAACTCAGAAGTTCTTATCTTTTCTGAAATGATCTTAAATTGTTCAGTGAATAAAAAAGTGACTCAGATTCAACACTGAGCATGTAAAATAAACTGAAGTTTGGGAGAATTATGGGAACAACCATAAAAAAATGAAGATAAGGTAAAAAAATCAGTTGTTCAGTGGTTAAGAGTATTGGCTGCTCTTACAGGACCCAAGTTTGATGTCCAGCACCCATGTAACAGCTAACAACCCTCCATAACTCCAGATTCAGGGATCCAATGCCCTCTTTTGACTTCCACAGGTATTGCACAACACAGGTGCACCTACATGCAAGCAATATACTCAAACACATAAAATAAAAAATGTATAATAAATAATATTAAAAAAATAAAAGAGGATTGGATCTGGCCTTGATGCCATAGCTGCTAACCCCATCTCCACCACTCAAGTCAATAAATTTTTAATTTTGGTGGTTAAAAATAGAAGCTATTTTTATTATTTTTATTTGTGTGTATGCATGTATTGCCTGCATGTATGTAAGTGCACCCATGTTGTGCAAAGCCCGCAGAGGACAGAAGAGTATGCTGGATCCCTGGAATTGGAGTTACAGACAGTTGTTAGCTGCCATGCTGGGAACTGAACCCGGATCTTTTGCAAGAACACTCAGTGTTCTTAACCATTGAGCCATCTCTCCAGCCTGAGAAGTTATTTATAACATAAATAAATCCCGGTTCAGGGACAAAGTGGTAACTCTGTGGACCCAACTAGCAGAAGATCTTCCCTTTGAGGATTTCAAGAATATCATTTTTCAATATCTAAGTAATGAGAGACATTTCTTCAATGCTGTGTTTGTTGCCTCAGAATCAGCAGAAACCACATTGTTCACACATTCTGTTTATCGAAACACATTCACATGACTCCACACATATACAAAATGCGCTGGGAAACAAGAGGGTATCCAGAGTGAAAGGCTGATGCAGTAGTTTGATTTTAATCATTTGATACTGGTAGTGTCAGAAATTTATTTTAGGAAAATTTCTTCCTGTGAGTTAGCATAGTTTTTAATTTAAATCTTTATCCATTTCATCGAATGACATGATTAGTCATTTCTTCCTCATTAATGTGAACTGCTGCTGTAAGATGTGCGAAATTTCACACTTTTGTCATAGCTGTCAGTTACTGCATTTACTTCATTGAATTTTAATCACTGAAGCTTTACCTGTGATGTATATTTAGCTACACTGTATACTCACAGTTTTCTTTGCCATTCAGTCTTTCTACTTTCTGGCATGTCAAAATCCATTCTTGAAAATATCATGTGAATTTTAAGGCTGGGCATGTTCATTTTATAGGTTATTTTTCAAACATTAAAATTTTCAAATGAAAATGTTAGTATTTTCAGCTAGAAATTTGGTCTATTAATGTATTTATCTGGTGAATATATATATATATATACATTTTTGCATAATTATAATTACATTATAGACATTCCTAGAAATTTGGAGGAGAGACAGCACACATGTTGTACAATTCATGGTTCAATATAAGTCTGTTTTTTTTTTGATTTGGAAGATAATTTTAAGAGAAACCAAGTCTGTAAATACAGGGATCCATATTTAGCATGCAGTAATAAATTGTATTTGTCTGGGGATATGACAGGTAGGGTTTTCCCTAGTATCTATGACCGCTCCAGCCTTGTATATTTGGCTGTGTTCACAGTCCCACACATGAGTTCCTCTCATTGACAGGACTTTAAGTCTAGTCAGATAGCTGTTGCTCATCCCCAAGATAAAAGTGGCATTACTGCACCATCATGGTTTATTGTGCTGGTAATTGTTGTGGTTATTAGCCTTTAAAGTTGGGGTAGGGTCACTGTTTAATTTTCTTCCTTATCAGCTTGCATAGCATCTTCCAGAACTATGAGAGCTAATTTTTATGGAAGAAGTCTCCAGGTCAGTTCGAGCTCCATTGCTCCATGTCCTGGATCTGAAGCATGTCCTGTCTTCAGCAATAGAGTCTTATCTTCAAGTTCTGTGCAGTAATTGAGGCCTGTGGCAATAGCCTATGTTATATGGGGAGTCTCTTTGACTACTGTGACCAACATCTCACAGAGAGTTTTCTCCTATATGGCACTGTGTTTCTTGTTATATAGCCTTCAAGTATACATCACACTCATATTCACATATTGTATGTATATTTTTCAAAAGGTTTCTGAGCTAATATATTCCCTCTGGTATTTCACACCATTCACCACTCATCAAAGAAGCTTCTTTTTGCAACAGATGGGGACTATTATAGACTTCCACAACTGGTAACATAGAGAGTAAGTCTCTGAGAGATGTCAGGCCTTAAGAGGCACATCTCAAAGGAACCTCTACATCTAAGACTCACAGAACATAGTGGAAGAGGGGTGGAGAGAATACTAATGCATCTTTCGATCTCATGAGTGAAGCTTCCTCATACAACAGACTATAATGTATCACAACTGCCCATAGTGTAGAGAATAAGAAACTGCAAAAACCGTGTCCCTGGATAGGACTCGTATATTGAACCTCACCCACCATGGCTCAGGGTCCGTTGCAGAGAAGGGGAGGAAAGATTGTAATAGTGAGGGCTGATGTATGATCATAAGGAGACAGAGTCTTCCAGCCCTCTGGAAACTTCCTTCCATGAACCTGTACCAATGGTGTAAGCATGAACAGACCCATCAAACTCAATCAGACAAAACACCAGCACAGAACTATTGAAATGGGCAGCTGAAGAACGATTGGCAGCTGATTATTGCTGGGTGAGGGAGATTTGACCCTTTTTAAGGGATATACTGTAGATAGGCTGACTAGATTCCACTGGATGAATTTGCCCTGAGGAACATGTGGGCAAACAAAATTGATCAGATAAGCCTTAACATATATGACAGAATGCATGAAATCCAGTGGGGGGGGACTATGGGGGAGGGCAGATGAGGGAGGGGGTATAAAGATGGTATAAAGATGATTAATGTTTTGCATGAAGTACTCAAAAATTCAATAAAAATACATTGGAAAAGAGAAAGTAAACCAAGGTTTAAAAGAAAGTTTTTGTATAATGCATGTGATGAAATAAATAAAGCAAGTTGCTTGGTGGTGTCTGTGACTTTGGAGGCACATTACTGAGGTGGATATGGTTTTTGCCAAATTAACATTTTAGGTGAGATCACTGATGAATAGTAAGTCACACAGATTTCACAAAAATGACCACCAGCTACTAGAACAGCTAATTGATCTTAAAGCAAGAAAGATTATGGACCATGTAGGGGGAAGCCAAATGGGCAATGAATGTAGGCTCTAGGGAGCACAAGGGGCAGATTTTCAGATGTAGGGTGACAGGTACAAATAAGGTCATGTGCAATTCTTTGGAACAATAACCTGATCCAGCTTATATGTAGGTAGGTTACTCTGAGTCCTCGGAGAAACCTAAACTATAGCAGGGATGGAGGAAAAGACAAGGACCTTTTTAGGAAAGTGTTGCTTTCCTAAACAACAGATAAGGGATAGTGATGACTTGGACTGAAGAAAAAGTGCATGTGTGGGGAAAGGACCAATACAAGATTATGTGTGTGGAGTCCATTATAGAGATGAAGTTAGCAGAACTTGTTGGCTGAGGCAGTAAGGCAAAA